ACTCGAGGTCGAACTCTTCCCCTGCGTGGGTTATGAGTCTGGGCCCCAGTGCACTGGTCCCCATCTTGTCGTCTTGTCATTAAATCTCCTGTAATTGCAGCAAGGACGGTCTCTCGTGAGTTACTGGGGGGGGGGGGGGAACTCGCGTCATCCGGAGGCTCGAGTGAGAGTCTCCCCTAATCGGGGGTCTTTCACATCAAAATACTGTAATCTATTTGGGTTACTCGGCTAAGTCTAAGTTTTTTTAGCACTCCACTTGGCCTCCTGAGAAAGCCAACAAGGGCTGATAAAGTTTCCCAAGCTTTCCAGGGCTGGGATTTAGGATCCCTGTCTGCTCGGAACAACTTTCATTGCTTTGTCTCACTGGGAACTAAAGAGTTAACTTTCGTTTCAGCTTGGAGTTTGCAGCTTTGTCAGCTCATTTAAATATCAAAAGTGACTTTACTGAAGGGCTGACACACAGCACCTGCTTCATCAGTCTATCAAACTTCTTGAGCTGATTTATAAACTCAAATGGTGACTCCCCAACATTCATAAACTATTTTTCCACGCTGTTTCTCTCATCTCTGCACTATAAATCTGTTTCTTCTTCTCTTTATCTCTATATGGATGAGGCTGCAGCTGAGCTCCTGGTTTGTTTACAAAAATTCCAGGCTGCAGGAACTTCCGGTTAGCGCATTCAAAACGAAGTCATAGGAATTAGCCTTATCCATGTTGTAAACATTCTACACGATTTTTCAATTCGGTTGGAGACGTCCACAAAAACTGCGTAAATCTTACTGTATAAATGCTTATCAACTCTTGTCATCTGTGCTTTCACTTCGGTCTCCGTCGCCGCCCTTCCCCCAGGCCCTCTGTAGGTAACTCTTTAACTGCCTGAAGCTACTCTCTTCACTCCCACACCTTACTTAAAAAAATCTACCTGGCCGCCACGGGCTGTTTCAACTAAAAATCTTGTCTGTCTTCCTGTTGAGATGTCCGTGTGAATGAAAATGTGACGCCATTGTGCTTGATTTTTGACTGGTTTTTGAATGTCTGAATGTGTGCTCTGTATCTTTTGCTGGCAGCAGCTCAGACTTACACTCAGCTGGCTGACTGCTTCCTGTATCTGTTTCCCAATTTTCATCTGACCTTAGTTTGAAATAAACCCTTCTCTCTTTGCACTCATACAACAGCTATCTTAGTTTCTTTAATGTAACTATTAAATTTCATGGTGCCCCTTAAGGATGTATAAAGTTGCCAGTCTCCCTATGTATTACTTTTGTGATTAAAAGATTTTGTGTCAATGCTAAAAGAACTTTGATTCATAATTATTATTTTAATCTAAATATAACAGGGATAAAATATAAAATTCTAAATCTATTAAAAACAACTAATTTACAAACTGTTAATAAATTTACTTAAATTGAAACTATTGAGAATAATTAGGAATGCAGGTTGAAGTATACTAAGTAATGTAAATAATTCCTTGCTTAGTGCTTTGGCATTTAAATGTTTAAGTTTCCCATATTAGACAAAACTGTCCCTGGCCTCTTACTTGCTGCCAGGGCTTTGTTAAAATACACTTTTGGGTCATATAGATTGTATTTCTTGTTACATAGGTCTAAAAATCCTTGACCTTGTTAGCAAATTCCAAATAAAGGAGAGCTCACCAAACAGATTTCAAAGTAACTTTTTAGTATTCCTTTGGTTAAAGATACTCAATCTACATTGATTGTTCAAATAATTATGATCTATGTCTCTTGATTATTAATAAAAAGTTTAGGATGTAAAATTGTTTAAGACTTCATAGCAGCATTATTTGTAATAGCCAGAACCTGGAAACAACCTAGGTGCCCCTCAATAGAAGAATGGTTAAAGAAGGTGTGGAACATATACACATAACAGTACTTCTCAGCGATAAAAAACAATGATTTCTTGAATTTTTCAAGCAAATGGATGGAAATAGAAAACACTATTCTGAGTGAGGTAACCCAGACCCAAAAAGATGAATATGGTATGTACTCACTCATAAGTGGATTCTAGCCATAAATAAAGGTCAGTGAGTCTATAAATCGTGGTCCTAGAGAAGTTAAATAAGAAGGTGAATCAAAAGAAAAACAAATAGTTATCCTCGTGGATATTTGAAGTAGACTAGATTGCCAGGCAAAAATTGGGATCTTGGGGGTGGGGGTGGGGTGGGTGAAAGGGGACATGGGGAGAGAAAAGTGAGGAGGGGAGGATGGGGAGACCCTGGGGTGCCAGGCCAGCAAGGCAACTATCCTTCTTCTGAGCAAGGACATCGGGCTTAACATGCAACACAGCTTCAGGTTCTGCAGACAAGTCTTTATTCCACTTTCTCACACAGTATATATAGCCCTCAGCAGGGGAGGCCAAGACAGCAAAAGCAGGAAGCTCATCACTGTAACTCAATGGCTTAGGGGTAAACATCCTTAGAAACATTGCTGAAAACAACAGGTTGTTCCTGTTTTTGTTCCTGTTTTCAACCAAGTGCAAGAGTGAAAAACAGATCAAGTTGGGGTGCGAAGGCCTGTCCTCTAGGGACCCAACACTGGGGGAATGGGATGGTTGGGATGGAGGAAGGGTGGATATGGGAGCAGGGAAGAAGGTATCTTAATTAAGGGAGCCATTTTAGGGTTGGCAAGAGACTTGACTCTAGAGGGGTTCTCAGGTGTCCATAGAGATGTCTCCAGCTGGTTCCTTGGGCAGCTGAGGAGAGGAAGCCTGAAGTGGCCCTATCCTATAGCCACATTGAAGAATATCTTGCATATCACCATAGAAGCTTCATCTGGCGATGGATGGAGATAGAGACAGAGACCCACATTGGAGCAATGAACTGAACTCCCAAGGCCCAAATGAGGAGTAGAAGAGGGGAGAACATAAGCAAGGAAGTCAGAACCGAGAGGGGTGTGCCCACCCATTGAGACACTGGGACTAATCTAAGGGGAGCTCACCAAGGCCCGCTGGACTGGGACTGAAAAAGCATGGAATCAAACCGGATTCTCTGAACGTGGCAGACAATGAGGGCTGACTGAGAAGCCAAGGACAATGGCACTGGGTTTTGATCCTACTGCATGTACTGTATTTGTGGGAGCCTAGTCTGTTTGGTTGTGCACCTTCCTGGACCTGGATGGAGTGGGGAGGACCTTGGACTTCCCACAGGGCAGGGAACCCTGACTGCTCTTTGGAGTGCAGAGGGAGGGGGAGGGGATTGGGGGTCGGGAGGAAGAGGAAATTTTTTAATAATAAAAAAAAATAAAAAATTATACATAAAAAAGAATCTAAAGGTTTAATTAAATGATTTTTGGAGACTTAAAAAATAAGGTCTAGATACATAAAACAATCAAACATGTTATAGATTTCCTTCCCCTTTTATGATATTGTTAACATTTCAAAAGTCCAAAGTTTAACATTAATAAAATTCTAAATAAACTGATACAATAATTATGCTTGCTATTCAGCCATAAGATCAGGATTCTGTAATCCCTGGTCATTTCTTAAATATAAACAAAAATGCTTCTGATTTTAACAGAAACATTTTCTTGATTTACATACATCCAATCTCCGACACAAATAACAATAAATATTACTGCTTTTAACCAAAATTATTATTAGGTTTCCAAACTTCTATTATGACTCAAAAACTGAGTCTCCTTACTTCTTCTATATCATGGATTTCAATATAGACTACATATAATAACAATAATTTGAATAATAATACTAATAATAACATATCTGACATTTTTGCCTCTTAAAGAAAATTCTTGTTAGCTTCAAGAGGTCAACTTGGATCAGCCACTGTTATGGTTTAGGTAAAATGCTGTGGTTTTCAGAGTGGCCTGTGGTTTCTACAAGGGCCAGCAGGACTCAGGCAGGGAGCAATATGGAGCAACCAGTCCCAGGAGGAGCGTTAAAGGAGCCACAGCAGGTGAGAAACAGATAAGCATGCCATGCAGTGTGAGGTTGGATATTATTTAGTGGGTTATGGAGGGGAAGGGGGAAAGGGGAGAAGGGGAAAGAGGAGAGAGAGGCAGAGAGAGAGAGAGAGAGAGAGAGAGAGAGAGAGAGAGAGAGAAGACAGGATAGAAGCCAATGGCAGCCAGCACCTACCTCTTTAGGAGAGAGATGGAAGGGAAAGGCCTCAGGCTGAAAGCAGAAAGAAGATCATCTTGCCTGGCAGATGGGGGAAGGGAGTGAATGGGTGGGGCTTGTCTCTTAAAGGAACAGAACAAACTATTACATTCAACATCATCACAGGTCAGCATGAATTCAGATAATTGACTTGTCAACAGTTTAATTTCCAACCTGCTTATTTGAATTTGGTGTGTGTGTGTGTGTGTGTGTGTGCGTGTGTGTGTGTGTGTGTGTGTGCACCCGCGTGCGCGCCCTTAAAATTCCAAATGTGCATCTGAGATAAAAGTTTTCTCTTTAAAATTCCTTAGCTTCACATTATACCATTAATGTATATTTACTAATTAGATTCATAATCATTGAAAGGGTTGCAGCTTGCTTTGTCATCCTCTTGGACACCAGTCTCCTCTCTCTGCATCCCTGTGTCCAGCCTTCCAGCTCACACTCCAGGGAATTCTGCTGTGCTCTCCTGGCCTTCTCTCAGCACAGGGCTTTGTTTGCTTGTTTGTTTTAAAGACACAAAATTGGGTGGGTAAGGATGGATCAGGAGGATCTGGGAATCAGAAAGAGTGTAAATAGGATCAAAATAATTTGGAGAAAATTCTCAAAGAATAAAAAGCATCAAGAATAAATTGGAGAAATCTGAATTAAGAGAAGATGTAAATCCCAAATTACTTGAATACTTCCTATAATGTGTGTGAACCTTTTGCCTTTATAATCATAAATACTTTTTCTTTATTGTGTGAAACATTGTCTTTACTTGAACAAGATTGGTGCCCAACAAGCCCTAGGGATCCTCCAGTCTCTGTCCCCTGTAGACCTGAAAAATTTTTTATTAGGGTTAAATGAACAAGTGACTTAGAAAGCGATTTTCCAAAATGAGGTATTCTTTATTCTTTTAATAAATAAGAGTATAGATATAACAAAAAACACAATGAAGTCTTTGAAAGGTATTTGCAGTTTAAAACTGAACAGCAGAATGTATGGTCTCTGGTGCTTGCAAAGCGTCACAGGTTCAGGTCAAGTGGAAAGACCTTATTAAAAATAAAATTTATGACCAGCAGTGGTGGCACACTCCTTTGATTCCAGTGCTTGAGAGGCAGAGGCAAGCAGATAAATGTGAGTTCAAGATAGCCTAGTCTACAGAGTGAGTTCCAGGACAGCCAAAGCTACACAGAGAAACTCTGTCTTGGAAACATAAAGTGAGAAAAGAAACTGTAAAAGCCCCTGGGATTAATGGGCCTTGCCGCCTCTACCACCACTGCCTGCTGCTTTTCATTGTTAAAGTGCAAGGCTAAGTGCACATTGGAGAACTCATGTTGGTGGTCCAATATTCTCATAAGGAAGATGGTCTGCAGCAAAACTTCATATCATAAAATTACAGAAAAATGAAATGAAAATTAAATAAATTACATAAAAAATAAAAAATGCATAAAAAATAAATAATTGTACTGAGGCTTAAGTCATGAGTGCCAGCACCCATTTTAGAAGCATCACTGCTGTTCTAATCCCTTGTATGTGCCATTCTCCAAGATGATTTTCGGTTGTGATATCAACAAATATTCAGTTTTTTTTTTTATAACAGTGTTGGAAGATAGCAGATAGAGCAGCACCGTTGATACAGGTTACAAAACATTTCCTAACAAAGACTAGGAAGAAGCTCAAGGAATTTGGCATTGGAGGATATAGCTGTTGGGCTTGCTACAGATCCATCTCTTCTCTGCATAGATCCTGGCACTGCTGATCTTGTTGCTGCTCAGGTAGGCATGTTTTTCCACTCCTCGAATGGGAACCCTGAAAATAAACCAAAAACAGTAAATCTGTGGAGCCCAGAACTGTATTTGCTCCTCAGTAAAATCTTGCCTGTCTCTAGTGCTTGTTTATAGTATGAATTAAAAAAAAAAAAAGCAGAGTCCATGAAAATCGTTAGCAGTAGTTTTGTACCTATGGTCCTTTACATTCACAGGGTTTGACTTGAACACAGAACTTTGACATTCTTCCATGTTAAACCCTGCAATATGTGTACAAAGCATTTGACTGGTGCTTGCTATTCTGTTCAGATGAACTACAGACATGGGTGACCTCACTAAGGTGATTTTCCATTCTGTTTTGAAGCATTTCACATATGGGGAAAGCCACTTCTTTCTGCTGAGTGGACTTTAATGATGGACAAGACTGGGTCTGTGATCTACCATTCCGGTATAATGGCTCCATTCAAAACAGCTATGCTTACATCCAAGAACTGTTTTAGGTGCACTCTGATGAAAAGACTTTAGAGAAGGTTTCCAATGCCCTTGGAGTTTCTGCTTCTGTGAATGGGTGCAGTCACGCACACAGTGGACTGCTGGGTCTCAGGCTTGCCTTTCTACAGTGACTTCCTGAAATTTCAGAGTCCTCATTGTCCTTCTGAGGTTCTGTCTACATTCTACACAGGGCATTTATCAACAACAACAACAACAATTTAAATTGATGAAGAAGCAGACAATAGCAAACCCAGATGCCATCATCATGCTAAGAATTTTGAAGAAAATCACACTAAAGTTTTGAAAGTGATGGCCAATATACCTCCAAGGCAGTACAGCTGGATTCACATGACACAGCCATTCCTCTCTAATAGACACAACTCATACACTTCACAACAAATGATCACATTAGAAGGGACAGTGGTTTGCAAACATACGAGCTGTTATATTCTGTGTTGTCCATCCACCTCCAAGAGTGCTCTGGTGACTCTCTGTGCAGGCCAATCCAGTAGTCAGAGGTTCCTTTGTATCTTTTCAGGAAATACTGTCATAAAACATGGAAAGCAAATATATGTGTCTCTCTGTTTCAGATGACCCTTGAGTGTCCCTACCCACAGCTTCCTCATTAAATGACAGGAGAATGCAACTGAGAGATGTAGACTTTGGAGGGATAATAGCCCTCATTTCTCAGTGGATCCTGTTGACAGTCATAATTCTTAAGTACCTCATTTAAATTAAAGTATAAAGTTTAACAACTTATTCTTTATGACTGGGTGAGTTCCTGGTTAAGCCTCCCCTTATAGTTATTAACAGTTGTTGCCTTAGGATGCAGCATTTGCTAGCTTGGAGAAAAATGCTTATCACCAGCAGGTATCTCAGCAAAGTGGCATATCCGACCTTCCTGATTGACTATGAAAACTAACAGTGAAAATGTTGCTTGAATGTCTCAGGGCTCCAATCAGAAATGTTGCCATTAGCAAATGGACACTCTCAATGTTCCCCATGTCTCCATCTGCAAGTTGTGGGATCCTTCCTCATGCTTCATATTTAACCAGTTTATCTCAAGGCAATACATGTTCAACAGAAGAAACAAACAAGCAAACCAATTCCTGATCTTTTCTTACCAGCTCCTCCATGTTGTCAAATCGAGCTAACTGGGCCTTTTGTTCCAGGCAGAATTTCTGACTTAATGTCCAAGTACTTGTGTCTTCAGAAAAATAGAAACATTTATTCTGAGCTCCAATCCAGTTTCTTGGGCAAGGAGCACACGTTTTTTTGATTGAGACCTGTTGTTGGCTTCTTTCTAAAATTTGGACAATAAAATGAATTATAACAAGAATTGGCATACCCTACTCAGTTCAGGTATGAGGTGTGAATTCCTCTCCTTAGCATTATGGTTCTTTATCTAAAGGTGTTCCAGCTTGTGCCTCTGAACTAGTCTTTCTCAGGTTCCCACTGAAAAAAGGGCTCCCAGGATGTATATTTCTATAATATTATCACTTTTTCTGCTTTGTGATATTTCTCTACAATAGGAATTGTTAGAGCAACAAGTACTCTGTATGGACACTTATTTTGGCAGTGAGCCTGATAACTGAGATAACAATGAGAACTATTGGGAAGGTGATGTATACAGTATGGACCTGTGGCACTAAGGGATTATTCTTAAGTTGGAAAACAGTGCTTGCTGGTAGAAGTCACAGTCTGACATCGCCTGGCAGCATTCTCTCAATGTTCAGCAATATAGAACGCTCTCTCTCCCCCAACTAAGTTTCCTGCTCCTTACCTACTAGTCTTAACTGAATTGTGTCCCTGAGTCTGGGAGACTAACCTCATCTGAAATCTGTCTTTAACCAGATGCTTGATTAATCATTAGCTTGACCCTAGATACAGATTAATCATTAGCTTGGCCCTGATTCACCTAAGTCTCTCTCTCAGAGGTTTCCTTTCATCTGTGCTCATGGACTGCATACTAAACTTTCTGTCACCCTGTCTTCATCTTTCCTCTCTCAGCCTGGTGACCAAAAGGACAAGGAGGAAGGAGGACCTCCCCCCTTGATGGCAACAATATAAGCCTTTTATTACACTATTCTGAACAGTGTCGTTTTAAAATCCTATAAATTGATCATCTCAAAAACCTTTCATTGAATACTTTCAAAATACAGTTGAACATTTTAACTAACATCATGGGTACTAGGGGAAGGTGCTGTATCTTCCTGGCTATATTATTCTTTTTTGTCCTCACATTTTCTTGAAGTTCTTCCTTTGGGTATTGTGCTCTTTATTCTTTACCTTGCAGAGTTCCCCAAGGAAGATATGTCTCATACATCTCGCTTAAGGTTGCTGAATGTCCTCTTTCCAGAGATGCTGAGCCTGGCCTCTTGTCCACACCAGCAGTCTGTGCTGTCCCTTCCCTTCATCTCCTGCTAGACCCTAAGTTCCCAGAGAAGAGGAATATCCAGTGTGGTTTCTCTCCTGGCCTTCACAGAGCACCTGGCTCACAGTGCTCAGTAAGTGTAATTGACAGTGTGGATATGGACAGAATGTTGCAGAATCTGGAGATGTCACTCACCTGACAATGACAGAGCAACAGAAAGTACAATCACAGCTCCAGTGAGGACAATGATCACTGCATAGCAGCAGTAAAGCCTAGCAGGAGACATGGGGGAGACGATTCTGAAAATTTTTTCTTGGAGCTTTTTACCTGTAAAATAAAATATGACAAAAATCAATCTCAAGAACCTTTCAGAGAAAAGGATAAAGTTATTCAGATTCATCTGTAGATTTGGCTTGTACTCCTCCTCTGCAAATAACCTTCTCAGAAAGTCCTGGTCTGGAAATTATGTCTATGACTCATAGAAGAGTAGAGAAAAAGGAAGCAGAAGTGTTGCCATGGAGCCTTCCAGTTATTGAACTAGAACCAATAACAGATCAAGAAACAAAGATTGAAGATCAGGATAAAAAAAATAACAACACAAAACCACCTGTAAATTTAGTTCTTTAAGAATAGACTGGCTGGGGGCTGGAGATGGCTCAGCGGTTAAGAGCATTGCCTGCTCTTCCAAAGGTCCTGAGTTCAATTCCCGGCAACCACATGGTGGCTCACAACCATCTGTAATGAGATCTGGTGACCTCTTCTGGCCTGCGGGCATACACACAGACAGAATATTGTATACATAATGAATAAATAAATATTAAAAAAAAAGAATAGACTGGCTAAGATTGAGGGAAACACTGTGGGGGTTGGCAGTAGCAGTGATCAGCAAGAAGCTGGAGATATAGAAAGCTGAGAGATTAAAAACAGCTGTTGCTTTTCTAGAGGACCCAAGTTTGGCTCCCAGTTTCCTCATTGGGCAGCTCATGATTGTCTGTATAACTCCTGCTCCAGTCAATGAAACAGATATGTTAGTACACTTCTGCAATTCTAGAGCTAGAGAGGCAGAAGTTGGTGAGTCAGGGATACAAAGTCAGCCTTGGCTACAAAAAAGGTTTGAGGCCAACCTGGACTTATAAGGATCAGTTTCAAAATACCTAGTAAGCAAAAATTTAGTAAGTACACACATTAAGTATAATAGAACTCATTGACATAAGTAATGGGTGAACTATGGTAGCATTTTAACAAGTTTACCAAAACCATGCAAAAAATTAATATTAGTCCAAAATTACAAAAACTCTCAACAGGATAGGAATTGAAGAAACTCTTCCCAACACATATATGGATATGGGGCATTTGAAAGAAACAAGCAAGGATTGTCATTCTTCTTAACTTTATTTTTGATTTTATTCATATAGTTGATTTGCCTGCATATATGTCTATGTTGCAAAATAATTGTATACTTTGAAGATGTGTCTCTGCCAAGGCTCTTTAAGATTGGTTTAATAAAGAGCAGAATGGCCAATAGCTATGTAGGAGAGATAGTTGGGATTTCCTTGGAGAGAAAGGAAGAGGAGGAAAAATCAGGATGCAATGAGACACTATGTGTCTCATAGTGGTGTAGGAGGTCCTTCTGTTTATGTATTGCTTTCATTGGTTGAATAAAGAAACGGCCTTGGCTTGTACTCCTCCTCTGCAAACTCCCTTCTCAGAAAGTCCTGGTCTGTCAATGTCTATGACTCACAAAAAAGTGGAAGAAAGGGAAGCAGAATTGTTGCCTTGGAGTCTTGCAGATTTTGAACTAAGATCCAATAAAGGATCAAGAAACAAAAAGAGTGAAGATCAGAATGAAAAAGAAGTAATGAAAAACAACCTGTAGAGTTTGTTTCTTAAGAATAAACTGGTTAGGACTGAGGAAAATACTGTGGGGGGTTGATATGGCAGAGATCATCAAGAGGCTGGAGATATAGAAAGCTGAGAGATTAAAAACAATGTTGCTCTTCTAGAGGACCTAAGTTTGGCTCCCAGCTTCCACATGGGACAGCTCATGACTGTCTTTATAACTCTTGCTCCACTCAGTGAGACAGATATATTGGTACACTTCTGCAAGTTTATTAGTAAATAAGTTAGTAAACACACACACACAAATATAACAAAACACATTGACATAATTAATAGGTGAAATATGGGAGCATTTTAACAAGTTTACCAAAACCATACATAAAATAATTAATATTGGTCCAAAATAACAAAAACTCTCAACAGGATAGAAATTGAAGAAACTCTTCCCAACACATTTATGGATATATGGCATTTCAGAGAAATAAGCAAGATCTGTCATTGTCCTTTATTTTGTATTTTATGCATATGGATTTGTCTGCATATATATCTGTGTTGCAGAATATTTGTACACTGTGAAGATATTTCTCTGCCAAGACCCTTTCTGATTGGTTTAATAAAGAGCAGAATGGCCAAGAGCTATGTAGGGGAGATAGGTGGAATTTCTTTGCAGAGAAAGGAAGAGAAGGAAAAATGGAGATGACAATGAGACACTGAGAGAGTTGAACATACAGAATGAACGGAAGGTAAAAAGAAGCTACGATTTCAAAAATAGATTAATAGAAATGTGCAAATTTAAGTTCTAAGAGCAAATTAAAAATAAGAGTAACCTAAGGCCAAGCTTTCATAATTAATAAGAATTTTCTATGTCATCATTTGTGAGCCGGGGAGACAAAGAAAGACTCACTTCCTGTCTGGACATGATGTGCAAGCCTGATTCAAAAGGAGACCAGAAGAGGGTGGCAAATTCCTTGGAACTGGAGTTAGAAATAGTTGTGGATGGCCACTAGGTTACTAGAGACTAAACCTGGGTTTTCTGCAAGAGCAACCAGTGCTTTTAACCATGAGTCATCTCTCCAGCACAAGATAGTTTTCAAATTGTATAAAAATTCAAAGGAATAAGTCTACTAGAGAGATTTGGGGGAAAAAAGAGGTCAAATTTCAGAAATGACACCTGATATAACAATGATATAAGTATGGTTTTGGCTTCCTTCTACCTTCTGAGCAATCTGTATTCACATGCTAAAACTCATTTCTCCTACCTTCTATAAAATGCTACTCAAGCATGAAGCCTAGGATTTTAAATCTCTCCGAGGAAAAGAGACAAGGAAATCTTCTGTGACCTAGTGGCAAATAAAAATGTCTCAGGTGTAATACCAAAATCCTTATCCACATTATAGAAAATGAAACACTTGAATTTTGGCCTAATTTAAAAAAACAGAAAACGAAAAAAAAAAAAAACCAAGCAAACAAACATAAACAAACCTCTGTGTCCTGTAAAGGGAATTCAAAAACCAAATTTTGCAAGACATAGATCATGAAGAAGTGGTATCCTAATAATTGTCAGAGCTTCTTGGAGAGGGAGGGGGGAGGGAGGGAGAGACAGAGAGAGAGTTAGAGAGAGAGAGAGAGAGAGAGAGGGAGAGAGAGAATGAATATAACAATGGACCAAATACCTGAAGAGTGGCTAACAAAGATCATATATTAAATATGTTCAGTGTGACCAGGTTTGAGAAAAGACAACTGGAAACAGATCAACAGTTTGTTAAAATGAGAATACAGTTACGATATGCCCTGGCCCTGCTACCCACATACTCTGCCAAGAGAAATGACAACCCATGTTTCCACTAAAAAAAAAATATAAACTACATATAAATATTGATAGTAACTTTGGATATTCTTAGAAAAATATAAAGTATTTTTTAATTTTATATCTTACAGCAAGCAAAATATTCCTCAACTTTGACTATGTAAATCAATATTACTGAGCACTCTGAATGAGGTATCCACAAGGAAAAATTTAAACATATGCTTGTCCCTGACCATCTCTCTTACTGTGCCCAAGTGTTTTTTAGGCTTAGATTCTCCACAGCACTAGAGCAGTGAGCTACAAAACGAGATGTCCTGCAGCCTATCTTGAGAATCTGATCACAGAGCTGTGTCTTTTTAATTTTTGGTCACTCCAATAGTCACTAACTTGCTTCTACTTGAGCTAATCTAACCCACCAGTGTTCCTACTGTCTTCTCTTAACCTTCTGCAAAATAAAAGTAGATGTTATATTTTGAGATGTGTAACATGACAGGCCGGCTTGTTGGGGTATCTGTCCCATCCAGTGCTCCACAGCTGGCAAGCCCCAAAGGAAAATCAACCACACAGAGATCTCTATAAGTTATAAAGCTGATTGGCCCATTAGGTCAGGCTTCTTGTTAACTCTTATAACTTATATTAACCCATTATTCTCATCTATATTAGCCATAATGGCTCCGTGCCTTTCTCAGCTGGGCAAGTTACATGCTGCCTCTTCGGTGGTCTGCGCAGGAGTGTCAGAGGAACCTTTCTCCTCCCTAGCCTTATCCTATTCTCATTACTCCGCCTCTATTTCCTGTCTGGTTGACCCGCCTATACTTCCTGCCTGGCCAATCAGCGTTTTATTAAAATACATGATTGACAGAATACAGATAATTCTCCCGCACCAGAGATGCTTTCAAGGTTCTAAATCCAGAACTGTTTGTGGATCAATGGCGCTTGGGACATATATCTAAAGCCAACTGTTTGTACTTGACACACAAGTGTCACATGTGGATGACTACCAGACTGCAGGATCCATGGGAACAGCAAATATCTGGACAAACAAATATCAGGTCAGAGGAAGAAGTGACTGGGAAGAATCTGTAATGGGCCTCAGAGGAATTAGAGTGGAGTTATTGGCTTATATTTCATGGAGACATGAGCATGTGTCTGACATGAGCATACATCTCCAAGTCAGAAGACAACTGATGCTTAAACTGAGAAGAAAGACGATGCTTAGGATTAGAGGATTGTAAACATTATATAATGTTCTTTAGATTTTTGACTACATACAAAACGTCATTTTTTGTTGTCTATATTAGACAAAAATGTCTTTAGAAACTCAATTATCATGATTTCTATTTTTTTTTATCTACTAAGGTGATATTAAAAGTGTTCGTTAATCTCTTCAATAACAACTCGTTTGTTTCACTGGTCTCATGAAGGCCAGTTCATCTGTAGGCCATTCCTCATGTTTTCTTCTCTTCTTTTCTATTTTTTAACATTTTAAAACAAGATATTTACTATTGGGAATTGCAAGTCTATACAAAAAAAAGAAAAATATGCTAAATTTGCATGTACTTACTACCCAGTTCCAACACTGGTCTGCATGTGAGAAATTGATTTTTATCAATTTTTTATTCCCCTTGTCACCCATATCCTCAAGATTACTTCTTTAAAAATATCAGATTTCAAAACACCTTCAAGCTTTAAATGTCTAGACTTACCTATGATTTCTGAGTTTAGCATTGTGCTTAAAACCTCTTCCAAACTCTGAATAGATAGTCCATACCCCTAGCTATTTCCTCTTCTGTCAATCAGCATTAGGCTTTTTGTGCCTGACTAATTTTACTCAACATGTCATCCAGGTCTACCCATGCTGTCACAAATGACGTCATCTCATCCTCTCTTTTGTATGTATCACAATTTTCCCTATGTATTCACTGCAAGATGCAGGTGGGTTCCATGTGCTGTTTATTGTGAACAATGTCAAAATACATGCTCAGACTCTTACTGGGCCTGGAAAAATAGAGAGGACGGAGGTAATATTTGCTATAAAAAGGTGTCAGCTCTGGTATCAAAGGCACAATAGAATAGAGTTCACAACAATGAGTAATTTTCTTGAAAATAGCTGATGGAATTTCTTAATGAAGCAATAAAAGTATGTGGTAAGTGTAAATTGTCAATTAAAAAAAAGGAAGACAGAAAAGAAAAAAGAACCAAATGTTACACATTTGGGATTGTGTTAAAGAATAATACCTGATATGTTGTCTAAAAGAGAATTCAACCATCTAATCACCCAGGTTCCAGCAGGATTCCACAGCGGACATTTCATATACATTATCAACAGCAAGATTTATTGATATCCTTCATATTTACAGTGTTATAAAATCTGATACTGTCTTTTAATTTTGGTTTATAAACGGTGTAACTTTTTCCTTCCACTGGGTTCCAGCAGGATTCCATCACCGACATTTCATATATGTCATCAATAGCAAGATTTACTGGTCACCCACTGTATTTACAGTGGTATAAAATCTGATACTGTCCATTTCATTTTGATACATAAACAGTAATTTTTTGTCCACCTTTCTCATACCATATATACATGTATCTCCTTCTAAATTCTAATACCTTCCACAGCACAGTTGGAAGATAATATTTGTGTCTTTATTAGGAAGAAATGTTAGAAATGATCTCTCAATAAACAAAGAAATGAAGCATTGCTGATCTGATTTTTAGTTCTATTTGAAAAAAAAAAGTGCCAGGTGATCCCAGCAGTCAGGAGGCAGAGGCAGGCAGGCAGATCTCTGGGTTTGAGAGCAGCCTGGTCTACAAGAGTGAGTCCAGTACAGCTAGGGCTACACAGAAAAACCCTGTCTTGTTGAAAAACAAAAACAAAAACAAACAAACAAAAGAAAGACTTGACTCCATCTTTTGTACGGCAATACACTGTCCATTTCAATTGCGCGAGAACAAGTATTATATGCTCCAATACAATAACTAATGTAAACCCCCTTAGCTAACTAAACTCCTGTCTGCATTTTTTGGTTCTGTAGAAACCCACTGTGGCAGGTTCACAGGCATGAGATTCAGCTCCTCTGTCCTCTGCTTCGATTCCCATCCCTGGCAAATACCTCTCTGCTCTTGTAGTTCCATTCAAATATGCATTAAATACATACCCATCTCGCCCTCCTGCAGACTGTCTGTGGTACTGAGCATGCCCACAATAGCCTCTGCAGGCTCTGCAGCACTCATCTCAGAGCCGACAAGTTGCCTTTCAGCTACAACAAGAAACTGAAAACTTTGAGGCAACGAAACGCCAGTTTTGTTTCAGGGGCGGTTCCACACTGCACTCTGCCTGTGTGTCGTTTCAGTACAAGTAATTATCAACTCTTTCCTGCTTTGACACCCACACAAAGGGCAGTGATCCTCTGGAGAGGTGAACACCATGCTACAACTCTGCGTTTTGAGGACATCACTAAGGAGGGGGCACCAGAACCAGCTCAGAGAATTCTGTGTGCTAAGCATCCAGAGACTGAATCTCTAGGAGACAGAGGCGGAATGCAGAGAGCTGGAGACAAACTGTCCACAGTCAATGAGCACATTTCTTTTCTCTCTGGGAATAAGACCTCATTTATTCTGGAGCCAATTATGAGTGATTCAGACTGTTTTATACAACAGGTTCAAGTATGGAAATGTTTGATTAGTGGTGTGGGGACAGAAAGACACATCCCACTGCCACCTTCACCAGTTCAAGAAGTGCTTCTAGACCAGTGATTGTCAACCTTCTTAATGCTGTGCCCCATTATGCTCTAATTCTCTTCAGAACTCTAACTTTAAGTGTAACTGTTAACACAAAAGACCTTATTAAGCCCCAAGGACATTAAATCCTCCTCTAGCAGGAGGCCTCTTCCCCTAACCCCTAGATTCTGAGCCAGAAATAATAGACCTCTTCCTGGATCATAAGTATAGTCTGACCCAGTGATAAGGACAGTGAAGCCTGGCACAGGGATGAGGACAGTGTGAATTCTAGCCCAATGATAAGGACCTCCAGTCCTCTTCTTTTCCCTGGCCTGCAGCAGTTCTTGGAGTTGGGGAGTCCAGGAGAGGCATAGGCAGAGCCAGACTCTTGGACTGGATAGGGTAGACATATCACTGGAAGCCCAGGAACTGTTAGGCAATGGGGCCACAGTGTGTAACAAAATAAGGGTGAACACAAGTATGTGTTCATGATTCCAGACCCACAGAAGGCACACTGCCAAGACCAGACTGGTTCAGGGGCATGACAGAGTTAATATTTAATCTGGCACTGGGCGTTGTGTGCTTCTCACTTTCCCTCTGTAGGATGTTGACCTTGGGGAAATGGATCCAGGACGGACAGCAAAAGCAAAAATTCTCGCTAATTTCTACTCAGTTTTCTTGTGATGCTGGAACTACTCTTAAAGTCTACCCACCCCCATGACAGAAGACAGAGAGCTTTGTGTGACACTGTAATTGCTGGAATACAGATCTCCAGGCAGGTCAGAGGTTCTATTCTTGACCAGGAGTTTTCCTTGAGCGGCCTTTACTATCACTGTAATGATTTTAGAAGTAACTGCAGTTCATCTGCCCTGACTCTCAGCAGCTAGAGGGAAGCAGTGATGGGACAAACTAACTTTCCTCCTTGAAAAATGTATTTTACTGAACAATAAATAATTATATCTTCTAGCCATGTTCACCTATTCAAAACATGGGAGAATTACCCGTTGGCCATTAAAAGATAGTTTACTCACTAGTGATGGGGGGGCACATCCATGCCACAGCATATGTGAGAGATCACGTGGTCACAGGAGCCAGTTCTCTTCTGCTTCCTTTGGCTATACTTTCTGTCTTCTTACAGATTTAGAAGAAATCTGCCTACTCTTTATTTAATATATGCAAACACAGTAGTGAGCACTTCTTTATGATTTATTAGGACTTCTTCAACTTCTGAGTACAAATTATTTTTTTCAGAACTAGGACTTCCTGGGTAGGAGAGATGATGACTGGGCAGTTAGGAAATTTGCCTGAGTTCTGTTCTGAGAATCCACACTAGGTATCTCATAACTGCCTATAACACCGGAGGATCTATTACCATATACATATGCACATAAATCTTTACGAAAGAAAGGAGGAAGGAAGAAAGGAAGGAAGGAAGGAAGGAAGGAAGGAAGGAAGGAAATAAGGAAGAAAGGAACTCCTTGAACATTCTCAGTTGTTGCCCTCCCACCCTACCCCATTGCTGCCCAACTTTCCCAAACTTCCCATTCAGTCAGAGTCCTGGGGTTTTGAGAGGTGAGGGTTGTTGATTAATTTTGTTTTGAGGCTGACTTGAGATTTGAAGCAGACCAGTTGTTTCATCTACCCAAGGACGTTTTGGACTCTGAGTTTTGTTTCTCCACTGAACTTGTGGCAAAAGAGAAATCAAAGTAAAAGCAATGCATTTCTCTTTGAAAGTAAGAACTCTGGATCTCTAACCAGTTCTAAATACCCTTTCAAAGAAAGAAAAGAATGATTTAGCCTGCAGGCAATATTATAAAGGAATATTTTCTGCTTTTTTCTTCCTTTTTGAAATTCCAAAAGACAATAGTCAACAGTTAGACTGCACAGCCCTGCACATTGACCTTGCATTGAATGGTCATGAGGAAGCCCCAGCCAGGTCCTGCCAATTTTCTGTAATCAGGGAAGAGAAAAAGGAAAGAAAGAAAAAGAGAAAGAGAAATTATAAAGTACCTATCTCACTTTCGCCTGTCCTGGAACCAGGTTCAATGTTATCAGATGACATATTGCCCTCTATAGGTAAGAGTAGAGACATGAACTTCCTTAATTACTATTTTGTTCTGTAAGACAGGTTCTCTCACTGAACCTGGAGCTCATAGATTACGCTAAGCTAACTGACGAGCAAGTCCCAAGGATCTGTCAGTCTCTATCCTCCTGAAACTGAGTTATGAGCTCATGGCACCAGACCAAACTGTTTTATGTCAGTTCTGAAGGATAGAATTCATACCCTCACATTTATGTGACAAACACTTTAATGACTGGACCTTCTGTCTAGGCCCTGAGGATGATCTGTAGGAAAAAAATATAGAATATATTCATTGCCTTCACAATGAAATAGTTATGTGCAAAAGTTTTTAGAAACTTTTCAAGAACTGGTCCAATTCTTCATTCCTGATTGCAAACTTAGTGAACGAATCATAAAATTTATGTGAAAAGTGACATCTTATGTGACTTGCTAGAAGGGAATATGGTTGTGGTGATAGAGGTCATTAAAGAGTAAAATGCCAGTAAGACATGGAAGTACCACATCAATAATTCTAACTCTGAGGAGGTAGAGGCCAGAAGATAAGAATGACTCAGGCTATCTAAGACACTTCCTCAAAACCCAAGAAAACAAAATAATAGAAACCTCATTGGATTTTATTGCTCTGTCCACAGTAACACACAGTTGTTGGGGACACAGAGGTTCATGGTCTCACAGATTAGCTCTAGAGAACCAGGAATGTTAAACATGCAGGTATAACTTAATTTCTACCCAGAAGACTGAAAATGGATGTGAATAATAACCTGGTGACCCCTGTGCTGTCTGTAGGGCCAGGCCACACCTGGCTTCCCCAAACTTTTCCTCTTGAGACCCTCATCTTAAGCATTGCTTCTGAGTCAAAGGAGCTCATCCTTGTGGGAGATGTCACATGGACTTCACAAAGGGGAGCAGAGGTGGTTAATAGCCTAAGGGCCCTCTTTCTATCTGTAAGACCATGATCTCACCAAATCTTTCCCCATACCCTTAAGATGTCACATGCAGTCAACGTAGAACCCATCTTTACAGAAGAAGTCACAGGTACTTTACAAAGAGGTCAATGTAGCGATGTCTTAAGCTTTCTTGTTCACATAGGACTGAGTTAATTGTCACTTGGAAACTCAATTCTAAAATTGTGCTGTGTTTAAGTACTCTCCAACAATCTTCCTGGTACTGCAGTCCAGACATCTGAACCCACACTGGCTGCTGAGATATGGTGAACTAGATCTTCTTGCCTCACATGAGTGGTTATCCTGCTTGCCGTGGTGCTCACACAGAAGCCACACTTGGTTTCCCTAGTAACCATGACCACAGCAGTTACAATTTATTCACCTCTAGTTTTCCTTAAAGTCATCTTACCTGAGGCATATTCCTTGAACGATGGAGCCCAAAGATGATGAAGCTGACCAAACACTGAAAGCAAATATTTACATTTTCAATGGAAAGCTGATATTTCTCAGACAACCAAACCAGAATTCACATCACTGAACAGAAAACACCAGTAAATCAACAGCAGACTTAATGTTGAATCAACACATGTGCGGGCTGGGTGTGAAACATAGGAAATGGGGCACAACCAATGATGTGACAAAATAAGGTTATTTTCTCAGTATCAGTCCATGCATGAAAAGTTGAAATCCATTTACATGACTTGTTTCAATGTTATGAAAATTAATTGCATGAAATCATGACATAACCTGTTAAAACTGGGTATCAAAGAGTTTTTGAACATACCTTTTGTACGACTTTAATAATATTTAAAAATAAAAACCTAACCGTCCTGAAAAATCTCACAATGTCTTTGTTCATTCTCTAGAGTGTATGTCACTGAAACCAGCTGCTCTCATGAAAAACATTGAAATGAAGTGCAAGCTGGAGAGATGGTCCCACAATTAAAGGCAAAAATTCAGAACCAAAAGCACTAGGGTTCAGTGCTTAGCACCCATGCTTGCCTCTCCAACTTCCTCTTTGTCAGGCATGGTAGATATCAAATAAACAAAGAAAATAATAAACAAAGAAATGAATCAGCAATTATTATGCAATTACATGTATATGTAATTTTATATATTAGCATATATATTTTAAATATATATTTAAAGATGGGCATGGTGGCATTCATGCTAGATCAGGATTGAAGCAGACTATTCTTTAATCAGAATAATGAAGGAGAGCAGTTTTCTGTGAAAGTGGAGACCATGTACCCAGGAACTTCTGGAAAGGAAGGGTTTTTTCATACATAAGATTTGCTCTTTACAGTCAAGATTGAATGATATCAGCAGGTGTTCTGTTACTGTTTTCTGGTCTGGCAGGTTTCCTTGTTCCTTCCTTCCTTCCTTCCTTCCTTTCTTTCTTTCTTTCTTTCTTTCTTTCTTTCTCTCTCTTTTTCTTTGTTTCTTTCTTCTTGTGTGGGACAATGGTTTGTATTCTGTCAATCATATTTTAAATAAACACTGATTGGCCAGTAGCCAGGCAGGAGGTAGGGACAGGTCAA